GAAACGGTGGCCGCCATCTTTTCTTACCTACTATTACTATTGGGAAGCTCCAAGAGAGATCGATCTTCGATCATCCCAGCTTCCAACATTTCCTCTACTGCCTCTTCTACAAGGGGTCTTTTATGTATAGGTGTTCGTAGGTTTTAATTTCACAGGGGGTGGTCTCCGGTGTCGATTTTCATTTCGACTGTGTGGGTCTGACCTAGTTCCTTTATCTGACTGGGCTACCACATCTCGATTGTTCCTTAACAGACCCCCCACTCTGGTTCTAAATTGATCCGGTGCTAATATATCCTCATCTAAGATTCCCTTTTTGTTTGCTCTACTAGCTTCCTTCGTTCCTCCTCGAATCTCACCCGATTCAGAGTTCGTAGGGGCGCTCTCTCCTATCTTCTCCCCTCTCCTAACCTTTGATAGTCTTTTGGGCCTTGTTCACCATCATAATGGGCACCAACTCGGCTGCCTCCACTACCGTTTCCTGCACAGGGTTACCTCGCCATCTTCTAGGCCCTTTTCCTTCTACAGAGACCAACTGCAGAGGTCCTCTCCGTATCTTTTTTTCTGACATTAGCCTACCCTTTTCCCGACACTGCGGTCCTAGGAGGTAACTTTACATCTTCCTCCACCACTATGGTTATCTCTTCCTCTGGTGGGCATCCCAACGGCGTTCTCTCGCCGTTCACCACCAACACAGTAGGATTAAACTCGATCTGGGCCTTCTGGCTCCGGAGCCAATCTTCTCCCAAGATTGCCTCTGTACACAGGTCGGGGTTACGTAAAAATTTTGGATGCTTTTCACCTTCCAATCCTCACCGGGAGCCTCACCATCCCTTTATCTCCAGGGAGCCCCATCTGCTTGCGTGATCTCTATGTCCGCTTCCCGTAACCTTCTCTTCCGTTTCACCCGCCTGTCTGTCTCCTCTCTCATCAATGACACAGATGCGTGTCCACCAAAGCCCTCATCTCTCTACCACCTATCTCTGCTTCTACAGGATAGTTCTTTCTCTTGTGTTAGCGAAGAGAACACTTGAGCTTTCTTCTTCCTGGGTCTCCACCCTTGGGTTAACCCAGCCATAGGTGCCGGTAGTAATAGATCACCTTCATTTTTTCTCATGAGGTGGAGTTCTGCGCCCCCCCTGCACCTGGGCGACCCCGGCCGACCTCTCCCGGTCTCCCATGGCCCGTTTCTAAGAATACAGTTTCTTTTCAGGTGTCCTGGCCTCCTGCAAAACCAGCACCTTCTTGCTGGACAGCTTGCCGCAAAGTGGCCCGCCCGACCACATGTCCAACATTTTGCTCTTTCCTTTTTAACTGGGTTGGCCTTGCGTCTATCCTCGGGGGAACCTGTCCTCTGTTCAAGCGGTTCGCCCACCCACTGGTCCAAGTTTTTATTTCTCCTTTTTAACTGGGCCACCTCCTCTTAATTCTGGGGTGGCCTGGCTTTTCCCCTGGGCCGGTCTCTTGGGCTCAGCCTTCTTTGTTAATATCGGTGGGGGCACCCTTCTCAGCCCGGCACCACTTGGCCAGGTGTCCTTTCTACCACACCTGCATCTGTCCTGATTGAAGTCTGGGGCAACCCCCACTTCGTCGGACATTCCGTTGCCCTGTGGTCCCGTACCCACAGGTCCAGCAGACCAGCCCGTATCGACCCGGCGTGGGCTTATAAAAGCCATGCCTGGTCGACCATGCCCTTCTGTGGGGTCCTCCTCCCATAATTCTGCCCGATCCACCTCTTCCTTAACCCTCTGATTCCACACGGGGTTCTTTCGCTCACCCCCCTTCTTCCAGCCTCCTGACTTGGTATCTGCTTCTTCCCACACCTCTTCACTTTATCCCACACCCCCCTGGCTCTCCCTGGCCAGCTCTATCGCTGCCGACAGTCTGAGCGGTCCTTCTTTCAATACGTCGGAACACGCTCGTCGCTCAGCGCCTCACAGGTCCGCCAGTTGGGCCTTAACTGCATTATCCCTGACCACTTCGGGGAATGCCAATGACGATAGCTTCACTCGGGCCCCTAATTCTCCCGGGGTTTCATCCCGCAGCGTGTTAGTTTTTTTAAAAGGCCCTCATGGCCTCTATGGCTGTACCTTCGTCGGCGAATTCTTTGGTCAGTAGTCTTTTATTTCTTCCCGCCAAGCGGGTTGGTTCTCCAAGAGCCCTCACGAACTCAGACGCTTTTTCCTTTGTGGCATCGTATGCCAAATACAGGGTTTCTTGGTCCGAGAGCTCGTAGATGGTTCGGCTCTTCTCGAGGATTGCCAGCCAGTTTTAAACCCTTTCCGCTGCCATCAAATACTGGGACCCTCGGTCCACCTAACAGCTTCCCTTTAATTCCACTGACAACCCCCGCCTGAATCAAATCTGACATGTCTACAGAGAAAGACAGTCCTTACAGCAACAATCGAGGTTGGGAAACAAAAAAGGTGTCCTAAGACGATTCTGTTCTTTCTTTCCTTTGGTCCCGGTCGTTCTGAGTTCTGTCTGAATTTTCAGCAACGGCGGTCGATCGTGGTCTTCTCAGGGTTGAAATCCTCAGTCACTGCACCAAAGACGGTTGTCTCAGGGTTGATCCTGGTCACGGCACCACTTGTGACGGTTACACACCTGGCCCAGGGTCGGATCCTTTGGTTACGGCGCCAACGGTGACGTCGCTCCTCCTGGTCGCTCCTCCTGGGTCCAAGCGTGCCGCTCCAACCCCTTGGTCAGATGATCACCAGCCTCGCCTTACTCGCTTCCAATACCTGGTCACTAAAGCAACTTTCTCCGGTCTGTCTACCCACGCTGTGTTTAGATCTTGGACAGACGGGACCAGCAGGGATTGGGGCCGATACAAGTTGAGTCCGACGGGGTGGCAAAACACAAATAAAAGAGAAAATAAACTCACGAGACAAAAAGATTGCTGATGAAAAAAAAAATGGGTAACAACCTTTTATATCTTAATGTCCGCTACATAAAACAAAATTGTTTGTCTCATTTCCCAACCCTCTGTGGACTATGGCACAAAGTTCTATCACACAACCTAAAGATTTCGAATTGCCTCTCTTTAGGAATTGTGTGAGTTGGTTTGGTGACACTGGGGCTAATTTCTATTCGATTCTTCATTGAGTTGTATTTCTTCGTCGACTTAGGCTGAAGTTCTCTTGTCTTCGACTTGGGCTGGAAGTTCTGGATGGGCGAAGGATTTTTGCCGCAACTCAGCCGCAACAACTCTGTCGTCCGAGGTGATCTCTTCGCTGCCGTCCGGGGCTGAACTTTTCTGTCTTCGACTTGGGCTGGAAGATTTTGTTCGAGGATTCTTTTTGCCCGCAAAGGGGCGAGTGAATCTCTGATGCCCGCGTTCAGCCCGCGGTTAAAAGATTTCTGTCGATCAGTCCAGTTTTTTATTGACGCCGCAACAAATCTGGGGTGGGTCTGTCGGCGTCAGGTTTTCGATAATTCCAATACGCATTAATTCTGTTTCCATTATCGCCTTGTTTTCACCCTACTTCCTCATAGTGCTTTTGGTTATCCATCTCTCTCGTCGTATGTCAGGTGACCGCTTTGACTAATGAGATTCTGATCGAGCATTTCTTTTCTTTTCTTTTCCGCAGCCACGTGACCGTTTTCGCTAATGGGATTCTGGTTGTCTTTCTTTTCTGCAGCCACGGACGCTTGAGATCCTGATTGGGCGTTGAATCAATCGGGGCGGGCTTATATCGTTCTTTGTTCTAAAAAACAAAATCTAATTTTTCCTTTTTTTTTCGCAGGAAAATGACCATCTTGGCCTTCTCTCACCTGACTTGAAACAGCCCGCCACTAATTAGACTTGACTTCAGAAAGGGGGCGCCCCCTCTGAGCCAAAAGCAATTGTCCCTCTTTAGTTTTTCCTGATAGTCAAAATCTTAATTATCTACATTGAAAATGGGGGTGTCCAAAACAGGTCAGGATCTGTATATAGTTCCAAAAAAAACACTTTTCTGATTGAAAGATTTCGCCTTTATTGTTCTAAAAAAAAGAATTTCCTTTCTCCAATTTGACAATGAGTCTTTCCATGCAAAAGTAGGCTAGGTGCTTTGACCGATATCTGGCTTCCATCAAGCGGCCCGTTTTGATATCATGTCTTTTTTTTCCTTTCTTTCTTCTTATTAAAATTCTTCCAATTGTCTTTAAAAAAAATTCGGGTCAACATGCTAGCTAAGATATCTTTCTGACTCCCACTCACCACTGACTGGGGTCATATCAAACCCCTTTCTTTCTTTTCTTTCCTTTCTTCCTTAGGATCGTCTAAGTACAATCTTAGTGAATTATTTTCAACTCAATTATTTTCCGTTTTAAAAAAAAATCAACAACCTGTTTAGTAAACCGAGTAAGAAAATTAAATCATATTTCTATGAATATTTCTAATAATGCAAGACATCCCCATACAACCGTGCTCTTAAAGAATTACGGGAGTCTGGCTACGGCAAACGAAGGCCTTCGACGGACTTACGCACATGCCTCTTAAGGCGCATTACAGGAGTCCGGCTACGGCAAAATGAAGGCCTTCGACGGGACTTACGCACATGCCTCTAGATTAAAGAGTCCGGCTACGGCAAAACGAAGGCCTTCGACGGAACGCACATGCCTCTTAAGGCGCATTACAGGAGTCCGAAGAAGGCCTTTCGACGGGACTTAAAGGCGCATTACGGGAGTCCGGCTACGGCAAACGAAGGCCTCATACACTGTAACCCTTTATTCCGAGGGCCTTGTTCGGGGTGAATATTATTGTAAAAAAAAGGGTTAATCTTAGAATTATTGTTTATCAATACATATATCTGACTAAACGAAACAGAATTGGTGATGGTAATAGAAAAAGCTAAACATTCAGCAATCATAACAAAGACGTCGACGATTGTGCAAGAGATAAGAGAAATTATGTTAATGTTTACCATTTTGGTTTGTTATTTGGCGATTATAACGAAGAAAGAAAAGGGATCTAAATGAGCTGTGAGAAACACTCCAATTTTCAGTCATTGGTGATTTTATGCATGAAGCCATTCCGGTTTTGTTTGACACTCTCGTTCTATGAATGGACGATTTGAACCTTGGTCGGGGAGGCCTGACATTTTGTAAGTTGTCAGCTTGCTCTCTTTTATTTTCCTGTTAAAGTTGGCGCATCGCTTCCTTTTAATTGCATCCACTTCTATTGTTTGTTGTTGCGCCATGCTTGCTATTCTTGTCTTATTTATCGCTTGATATTGAATAAGATTGGGAAATCCAGGGGAGAGAGAGAGAGGGAAAGAGAGAGAGAGATGGGGGGGAGATAAAGAGAAACAGATGGGAAAATAAAGAAAGAAAAAAGAAAGGTAAAAAGAAAAGAAAGAGAATGGGAAAGATAGAGAAACAAGGAAAAAAAGAAGAAAAGGGAGCGGGAAAGAATGGGGAAGAAAACGGTACAGAGAAATATAGAAAAAGGGTGAAGGGAAAAGAAATAGAGAAAGAAATCGGTAAAAATGTGCGTGTGAGAGAAAGAGAAAGAGAGTGAGAAAGAGAGAGGGAGATGAAGAGAAACAGATTGGAAAATAAAGAAAGAAAGGGGGAAAGAAAAAGAGAGAGAGAATTGGAAAGAGAGAGATACAAGGAAAAAAAGAAGCGGGAAAGAATGGGAAAGAAAACGATACTGAGAAATATAGAAAAAGGTTGAAGGGAAAAGAAATAGAGAAAGAAATCGGTAAAAATGTGAAAGAGAAAGAAAGAAAGAAAGAGAGAGAGAGAGAAAAGGAAAAGAGAAAGACAGGGAGATAAAGAAGAGAGAACGAGAGAGAATAGCAGGAATGAAAGAAACGGAATGAAAAAGGAAAGCATATTCGGGAGGAGAGAAAACAGAAAGCATCAGGAGAAAGAAAAGTGAGAAAAAGAGCAGAGGGGATGAAGATAAAATAATAAATAAATAAAATGGAAAAGACAAGGGAAATCAGAGAGAGAGAGAGAGAGAGAGAGAGAGAGAGAGAGAGAGAGAGGCGGGGGAAGAGAAAACGAATGAGAGACACAGAGAAAACAACAGAGAATGAAAGAGAGGGAAAGAAGAGGGGCTTACATGGACAAGAGAAGAAAACAAGAGAAAAAAGAAAGATTATAAACAGTGTTATAAAGTCATCGTTAGCATCATCATAAGCATATTAAAGATACGATTGGAAAATCATCAACATTGTCATAATCAAGATAAAAAGAAAACCAGCATTATCATTATAAAAATCAAGATAAAATGAAAATCATTTTCACTATCACAGTCGAAAGAAAAAGGAAATGATCATCATTGTCATAAAGAAGATGAAAAGAAAATCATCATCATTGTTCTAATGAAGTTAAAAAGAAGATCATCATTATCATAATTAAAACAAAAGGAAAAAACAACAAGAAAAGCATCATCATTGTCATACGTGACAAGGTAAAAGATTAAAATCATTACTCTAATAATCACTATTAAAAGGAAATTATTATCATCGTCATAATCAAAATAAAAGGAACATCATCATCATTGTAACAATCAAGATAAAAGAGACTCATCATCACAAGATACAAGGAAAACTTTAATGAACAGAAATGAAAACCTTAGCCTAATGTTTTATCTAGGTTTGGAATTGTAAGAAAAAAAAGCATATGAAAATCACTTTTGTTGCGTTTCATATATATATATATATATATATATATATATATATATATATATATATATATATATAAAAATATATGGATATAGACAGTATGAAGAAAAATAAACAAACAAAAATCCTAATATGCAATTATGCTGTTTTAATGTTAATATAATGTCAACGTCGGACGTTTCGGTCTAGTAGAACTTCTTCAGGACATATTCATAAAAAATAATTAACATTAGACTATATTCAATTCAACATGAAAAGACGATGGACATAAGAGTAAGACTAATCAAAACAGACAACTGAATTTTTTTTAAGATCAGCATTCCGTTCCGTATCGTTGACATTTTTGTTTGTTTTTCCGTATATTTTTCTGCATATATATATATATATAGATAGATAGGTAGATAGATAATATTAGTGGTAAATATACATACATATGCAAAGTATATAAATACCCATACATGTATATTTTTTGAATAAAAATTCCAAGAGGAAGAATCCCGGTAGAACTCAATGTCCAGGACAGAGTAAGGATATAATAAAAAGGCTTAAATACTAATATTCCATGGTCATAATTTATTCCATTGGAATCGTAAATACGATCCAATTCATCAGATCTACAAATTCAAAAAGAAAACAGAAAAAACAACTCCGGAAATAAAAACAGAATTTAGAGAGAGTGTAAGTATGAGGAGGAGGGAGATTAAACCTTAACAGAGAGAATTTTAGGAGAGGTGGGTGGAAGGGGTTTAAGTAAGAGAAAAATGAATGTTGTCGGATGTCTAATGCATAAAGATACATTTCGTGGTGACATACACACACCATAGACAATTTAATGTTAGAATAAGAGGGAGGGAAAGATGAGGTGGGGGAGAGAGATGGGACGAAGGAAAGTAAAATTGCGTTTACTTAAAGGGCCGCTTTGTAATTGAGAAAATTTGACAAATTTAATATCGACTACATGTAACAAATCAAATATAAACATATAAAAAATAAATATAACGATTATCTAATCCAGCAAGGACCTATATTTCTATGTTCAAAAACACATGCGAATACACACATACACAATAACATATACACGTATATACATACACATAGGCGTGTACCCACATACACACATACATGTACCCATGTACACACATATAAAAATACAAAAAATATATTCTCCTATCCACGCATACACATATTCATCTATATCCATATACACACACTTTTTCCATACATATACATACATACACATGCACACATGCATATATCTATCTATCTATCTATCTATCTATCTATCTATATATATATATATATATATATATATATATATATATATATACACACACGCACACATACACATACATATGCATGTATATGTGTGTATGCACACATACACATCCATAAACACGCACATACATACATATACATATGCATATATATACATATACACACATATACATATATATATACACACACCCACATATATACACACATACACACACATATACATATATACATACACACATACATATATACATATATATATATATATAAATAAAAACCAAAAATATACAAAAATACATACACACACGTACATGCATATATACACACATCCATCCATCCGCATCCAGTCCTTCATATATATACACACTTACCAACATATATACATACGGACATACGCATACGTGCACATAAACATATATACCTAAAACCTTACATTTCTATACAATTACATACACCCATTTAAACAAATAGACAATGTATCCCATATATCTATCCGTCTAACTATATATACACATATATATATACGTACATATACACCCATATACAAATATATATGAGTACATACATACCAAAACATACACACACATATATACACAAATCTACATATACATCCATCTACATATATATCCATCCATCTACCCATACATACATCCATATACGTATACATAACTATACATATATACACCTACATGTACATCCATACATACACATACATATACCTATATACACACCCTACATATGTACACATATATACACACATACACACACAGCTAAGTACACACACATATACATATATACACACATACACATACATACACATACATACATACATACATATATATATATATATACATATACATATATGTACATATACACACACATACACATACACACTCATACACACACATATACAAATATATATATATATACACACATACACACACATATATATATACACATATACACGTACATAAACACACTCCATACACACACACACACACACACACACATATATATATATAAATTAAAATGAAAAATCTAAATAAGTAACATTTCAAACATTTGGGCGTGTAAAATAAATAAATAAATACATAGCGCATCACATAAATGATACCTATAAAGATAAACATAATAAACATAATAATCATTCCATTAAAATGTCATGGCCGATGTTATTGAACCAAGATGGAACTGACATAAATGACAACATGTTACAAAATGGTGTTCATGTTTTGAATCGTTTCTTATGTCTACATTTAGAAAATATCTCATTACGAAGATTCAGCAGCTCATCAAATACGTCGATATATACATATATATATATATATATATATATATATATATATATATATATACGTATTTTATTTGCACAGAGAAATTTTTTGATTATTCGTCATATATATATATATATATATATATAGATATAAGACAAAAACTGTACAACATTTGGATATCCTTTATTATGCTGTTCCTCGATCTAAGCCATCTTCAGAGTGTCTATATGGGCATTTCAACAAAGATATTCATCATTAAAGATGATATCCTGTTATGTTGATATAAAACTCAGATCGAGGAACAGCATAATAAAAAAAATATCCAAATGTTGGACATGTTTTTGTCTTAATTTTCTCCCGAAATTAAAGCAACTATACGAAGCTTATAACGGCTCATGGTCAAACAATAGACATTCGTTGTTAGTTATGTTTAACAATATATGTTTGAATAATGATCCATCCAATATAATATATATATATATATATATATATATATATATATATATATATATACAGATTAATGTATGATAATCCAGCATATACCTTTATTAATTCAACCCTTATTATACTGAGCTCTTCTTATTTGTAATAGACGCCCCATTTTTCTATTAAGTCGAAATTTCGGTATATCTGAATACATTTATTTGTTTTTCAATATATCTATTGGTGTTTTCTGTCTGTCTGTCTCTGCTTCTTCTGTTTCCAAAAGTCTTTGGTACTTTGTAATAGATGATTTAATTTATATTTCCTTCCGACGTAAGAATGGTGTTTGAGCGCAGATAAAACTCAAGATTTAAAAGCAAGTTTCGCCACTCTAGATTAGCGCAATACAGTTTTTATCTTCTTTTGTTAGCTTTCAATAGATTAGGCTAAGTAAATATCTATATCCGCTATTTTCTATCTCATTTCATTAATATTTATCACATTCCTCCCTTTCCTATCTATCTATCTATCTATCTATCTATCTATCTATCTATCTATCTAATTATATTAGTTTCTTATCTATCTATCTATCTATCTATCTATCTATCTATCTATCTATCTAATTATATTAGTTTCTTTCTTATCTATCTATCTATCTATCTATCTATCTATCTATCTATCTATATCTATCTATTGTCCTGTATATCTATGAAAAAATATAGCTGCATCTCTCTGTTCATATCTATCTCTTTATAATATTCTATTCATGTCTATCGCTCTACCTCAGTCTATTCATATCTGTCTGTCATTAGCTCAAACCATTAACCGAATTTTAAAATAAATTTATAAAACACGCTCAAAGCAAAGATACAAAAAAAACCCAAACAAACCGAAAAATACAACAAAACAAAGATAAATAACAAGACTTAACGTTATAAAAAAGACAAAACCATTAAAAACAAAATGGCGACAGTAATTTCAAGATGGCGAGTCGTACGGCAAGACTGTTCTTTTCAAAGACTGCTTCTGTTACACTGCGTTTCATACGATGTACTGAATAACACAAGAAATTGTAGTCATTTCCTCTAACACTATCGAACGTATTATTATTATTATTATTATTATTTGTAGTTGAAGTAATGGCGGCGTTTGTAATGTGTTTATTGTTACTAATTTTTTTCCTGTTTTGTGAGCCTGTGTTACTTTTAAGAAAATATGTCTCCCGGGAAAATCTGTCATCGCAAAACCGACTAACAGACACAGTAGGAACCTTCAAAGATGGAAGAGTGATAAAGACAAATAAAAAAAAAGTATGGCAATAATTAAAAAGCCGGTGCATGCGCATTGTCCACTTTTCAAGTTGCACTCAATGAACTGGAGATTATCTTTAGCGGATAGGTAATGAGTAGATAAGATGGTCAGATGTCTGAACGAACGCATCAACAATGGATAGTACTACTACGACGACGGCGGCGGTGATGACAGCAGCAGCAGCAGTAACCATAATTGAAAACTCAATGACTGCAAATAATAATGATCATAAGAATGTGACGAAAAATCTTTGAACAACTAATAGCCTGAGTGTCGCCTGACTTTTAACAATATCAACCGAAGATTTTAGTAGAAAGAAAGAAAGAAAGAAACCGAACGAAAAGAATGATGTAAAAGAAAGGAAGAAAGAAAGAGCAAGAGGAAAAAGGAGAATGTAAAACAAATAAATAAAAAAAAAGAAAGAAATAACAAGTCTATCAACACCACCATCACTGCCACCACCACCAACAACAATATTAACAAAACGAACATGTCTATTGAAATGTAAGCATACGTGTGTCTCCACAGCTTCCTTTTCTTACACTGCGCATTGTCATATCTGTTCTTAGGAAAGAGAATAGAGTCATTTTCTCCTCCACGGTTGCCCTATCAAAGAGCTTGTTGTATAAGGGTAAGTGTCGTTGCCGACAATGTAGTTTGAAACTAGATCGCCAGTGAGCAACACGGTCGATTCCATTATTATTTAGATCACGTGATCACAAAGGAAGTGAATAAAGAGGAAGTAGCGTGATGACTATACGGATCATTGTTCACTCTTCTTGTCTATCCACTATTGCTATACTTTCACTGTCTCTCTACTCTTCTACTATACGGATTACGATTCTATTCTGATTATTATACTATTTGACGATTACTACTTGATCAAGTATTACTAGTGCTGATATTATTGGAAGGCGTTACTACTAGTTCAGGCGTCTAGGAAGTCCTGAGTACAACGAGCATTTTGTTGAAGTAATAACGAGGTTTCGTTGGACATAACAAAAGTGACAAGCGAAGCCGTCCAACATCACAAAAGAACCCAATATTCATAACTAGAAATAATAATAATAATAATGCACAGACAGAACAATCAAGGTTAATCGCCCAGAAATCGTGATCAAAGATCGCGAAAAAAAAAAAGGAGCAGAATCTGCTTTCTTATTAACATGGCTGCCTCTGCAGTTTCGTATCTTGTAAGATCTTCCAAAAACTATCAGAATATAAGGATCTTGAAGTGGAAATCTAAAAAATGTGGCTCATGAAGATATCAATAATTCCAGTTGTAATTGGAGCACTCGGATTGATTGGAAAAGGTGCCGATAGACTAATTGAAGGGATTTCTGCTGGTCCGTGTATTAAAGAAATACAAAAACATTGTACTCACAAGTACAATTCGCAACTTACGAAGAGTTTTATCTATATGTGTGATATTAGCTTTTTTTCTTCCTCAAAACATTATCAGTGTAAAATGCCATGAAGCTATTTCTGACCTTAGGTCTCTGGTCGGGAAGGAAACGTGTATACAACAGAAACCGAAGGAAATAATAATAATAATAATAATAATGATTTCCAATGCGCCTTCTGCTTTCCCTGTCACATCTTGAGATTCCCGACAAAAGGTTCTATAAAGGTATGGATCCTGACCTTTCTTTTCGGCTTCAGTCACTTTCCCACCGCTGTGGTGTGGCTCTCTTCTGTCTTTTCTATAAATATTTTCATGCCAATTGTTCCAATGAGCTCTCCTCCTTGGTGCCCTCGTCCGCGTGAATTTAAGCGTGTTACTAGATTGGCTATTAGGTCTCATCGTTTTAATTTAATGTTTTTCTTGCACTTCTCACTTGTGGAACGCTTTCTATCTCTCTCTCTCTCTCTCTTTCTCTCTCGGGGTCTTGCTTCCATGTCATCTACAACAATTAAAAAATTAAATGCAACGTCAATCGTCATCTGTCTTTCTGAAAGCTGTTCTTTTATTGTTCTTTCTCCTCATTAAAGTCTTTCTATTCCCTTCCGCTCTCAGTAACTGCTTCCGTCTTAGTGTCAGTAACGCCTTGTGTGGGTTTAAATGATGAAAAAAAAAGCTGTTATAAACCCCCCAGATATTTAAATGTATGTATTTATTTGATTTCGACGTCTCCAATTTGTTGGTCTGTATCTTGAGCTTCCTCTTTTGCTCACGACCACACATTCTATCTTCTCCCATATAGAAGGATGATTGCACTTCAACACTCTTTGTTACTTACGACAATTTAGAAAAAAAATATACTTTCTAATAAAGTATAGACATATTTAATAAGTAAAAGAATGGAGTGTTTTTCCTTTGACGTCGTTCCCCGTGGGCCCTCTTCGTCTCTGCCTTTTTCGTGAGTAGCGACTCCTGTCTTATAGAGACATTGTTCTTTGTCTTGTCATCTTTGTCTAAAAATGTAATTCATCTTCATTCAGTAGCTCTCTTTGTCCGAGCCGCTGTCCATGTACTCAGGAAGTTCACTTCATTTATTGATAATTATCGGGAAAATAAATGCCCGAATCGATTTTTGTGACAGGTCAGCTGTTTTCCAGTTAATAAAATGACACTGATATCGCTACAATTCTCATATTTCCAATTTGTTTGTCTGTATCTTGACTTGTCCCTTTTGCTAACAGCCACACACTCTGTCTTCTGCCATATAGGAGAATGGATGCAGTTTAGCACTCTTTATTACTTACAACAATTTAGAAAAATATGCTTTGCTAGTGTGGACGTATTTATGATGGAAGAAGAAAAGTAAAAGAAAGGGAACGATTAATTATTTCTTTGCAAATAATTTCGATATAAAAATATGAAATGAAAAATAACTTTATTATTATTTTATGCGTTTGGTGATTTTTTTAAATTTCTTTTTCTCGTTGCCCAAACAAATGTTTCGCTACGATGTGCCGTTTTTGCTTTACATTATCAAACACAAATATTAATCGGATAATTGCAATATAGATAATTATTAATTAATTAAGTTAAATTAATTATTTTCATTTATATTAGGTTACTCTACTCTTATCATGTAACCCAGTACTAATTGCATTGTCGGGTCATCGGCGTTCAAACTGGTTTCCCCTAACAGGCTTTTCTGGCGAAGGAGAGTTGCCAGTAAGATAAAAAAAAAACAGAATTTGTCAAAGAGCGGACGAATCATCTTGTAAGGTCAACGGCCATCTAGAACAATGGGTTAGAGGTCCTTCCGTAGGTATGTATGCAAACAGGGCGATGATGACATGGCATCGCTGGATGGAGGGCTCCCCAGTCTGAAGTCAGAGCCCCAGAGTGGGATATTTCTTCCGAACAGAATCAACGGCCCCCGTATCTGTGACCGAGGCGAGCATTAAAGTTGGAGGACACCGGCTGTGGTTTAACCTGGAGAAGGATAACATTCGCCATGTTTACTTGGCCAAGGCACACTACGCTTGATTGAATAGAAGTTCAGCTTTCAACCCATGTGGAGGAAACTGGTCGGGTGTTCAGCAACCCTACGAGCCTAACACAGTCGTGTCACTGATGATGATGATGATGATAAACATCATCACGACTTCGCTTGAGATTTGTCGGAAAACATATTATTGTTACTATTTATTATAAGAATGATTAAGCCTTTTGGTTCTTGTTATTGGCTTGTCTGAGGTTTCAAGTGAAAAAAGGAAAAAAAAAAAAAAAAGAAAAGAGCATCTTGTAATCAAGCGATAAGAGAGCATGCTGGGAAATGGCTGTCACCTTTTGTTAAGTTCACGCTTAAACGAGAATTCGTCTCGTCGGCGAGAACGTCGAAAGGAATCTACAATAACCATTTATTTTCTTGCACTTATTTACTTTTGGATAAATCACACCTAATCCTTTATCATTTCTCTTCGACTGATAAGAAATAGACAAAACAACTAATTCAATTCAACAAACAGGATTTCCTCGTGGCTCTAACAAAAACGTCTTTTGGGATTCGTTTTATGAAGGAAAAATGCACTCCACCCCCACACACAAAGATTTATATCCCAGTTTATTAATTATTTTCCAGCATTTCCCCTTAAAAATGTTTAAAATCTTATGTTCCACCAAGGCATAAGAGCCACTCAAGGTAGAGTGTTACTGAATGAGTTTGTTTTAAGGGCGTAAAGCGAGAAAAGAAAAAAAGTACACATTATGTGGATATATAAGAAAGGTAACGGTTAAGACTTGAACAGGTTATGGTTGAAGTAATCGAGAAACATCCTCTTAGGAGTCTGTTCCACAAAGTAATAATTCTGTAGAAGTAGCTGTCTAAGTAAAACCTCCTCCAATGAATACCAGGGGGATAAGGATGAGTCGACTCAGTGCATGTGGCATGGTGGGTCCTAGCTGTGAAGGTCTGAACTGGTGGAACTAACAAATGTATCTCGTTTGAACATTTACCATGGAAATATGGATAGAGAAAAGGGAGACGAGCAACGTTTTTTTTGCAAGAAAAGGATTGGAGGAGTGAAAATAAACGCCCACAAGGCCGCGTAGACGCATTTCAAAGCAGGAAAGTTAGGGCTGAGTAAATCTAGCCCACACGTAGCAACAATACTCAATTTTTAGTCTCACCTGACGCTTGCAAAGATATAAGATGACAGGAGGAGTCAGGTACATTCTGGAGTGGTACAAGGGACCATTTTCCCGGTATCTTTAAATGGTTTGTATGTTTTTAAAAAATCATTTCACCAGGCAATAAAGCCACTAAGACACAAGGGTCACTGAGTATGAAAGAATAAGAAAAAAAAACATTATTAAAGAGCGAGAAAAAAAAAAAAGACGAATCAAGAAGACAGTAGATAACGATTGACATTCCATTTAAAGTGCTGAAGATCAAAGTTGATCGGAAAGCAAGAAGTACGAAGAGAGTTCCACAGGCGAGAAGTACGAGAAAAGAAGACATTCTTTCCAATTTAGCATTGCGCTTAAATTCACAAATGATAGGTGCCACAGCGGAAAGTTCCCCAGAACAATTACCATGAAAGTATTTATAGAAAAGGCACAGAGAAAATACGTTACGGCGATGGGGAAGAGACCCAAGTCGATACGTCAAATCTTATCAATCATTAATGATTGAATAAACAACAAATAAGAAACGTTTATAAATGTAACAAGTTTCGCTTTTAAGCTTCATCAGAGATTTCTGGAAATGATTTATGGAAAAGAAAATTTTGGTATTTACCTTACCAGTGAAAAAAAAAGCAACACAGATCTCATATCTACCGGAACTTTATTTTTCACAACTCATTTCCCATAATTTCTGATTAAGCTTAAAGCGAAACTTGTTGAATCTATAAACCTTTCCTATTTGTTTCTTATTGTATTATTCTATTGGATTTAATCCATAATTAATTCCAATTCATATCATTAATACATTAGATACAGCGATTATGAATCTGAGATCACTCCTCGCGTCGTATTAAATAAGATTTTAAAAATACCCGGAAGTGGTTAAAAATGTGCCGGGGCTCAAATTGGGATATCAAATGGAAAGCAAAAACTGTATATTGACTATTTCAAAGTTCAAATTTCTGGTAGGCTTTCTGAAACGACGGGCCAAATTCAAATTTCTAGTAAGTCTTCGGAATTGACGAGGCAAGTTCAAATTTCTAGTATGTCTTCGAAATCGACGTGCCAAATTCAAATTTCTAGTAAGACTTCGGAATCGACGAGCCAAATTCAAATTTCTAGTAAGTCTTCGGAATCGACGAGCCAAATTCAAATTTCTGGTAGGCTTTCTGAAACGACGGGTCAAATTCAAATTTCTGGTAGGTCTTCAGAATCGACGAGCCAAGTTCAAATTTCTAGTAGGCTTTCTGAAACGACGGGCCAAATTCAACTTTCCGGTAGGTCTTCGGAATCGACGAGCCAAAATCAAATTTCTGGTAGGCTTTCTGAAACGACGGGCCAAATTCAAATTTCTGGTAAGTCTTCGGAATCGACGAGCCAAATTCAAATTTCTGGTAGGCTTTCTGAAACGACGAGCCAAATTCAAATTTCTGGTAAGTCTTCGGAATCGACGAGCCAAGTTCAAATTTCTAGTAAGTTGGAAATTTAGTCTAAAAGAAAGAAATTCTGAATCCGAAACCGTCGAGAAACTTGTTGAATCTATAAACCTTTCCTATTTGTTTCTTATTGTATTATTCTATTGGATTTAATCCATAATTAATTCCAATTCATATCATTAATACTTTAGATACAACGATTATGAATCTGAGATCACTCCTCGCGTCGTATTAAATAAGATTTTAAAAATACCCGGAAGTGGTTAAAAATGTGCCGGGGCTCAAATTGGGATATCAAATGGAAAGCAAAAACTAGTATATTGACTATTTCAAAATTCAAATTTCTGGTAGGCTTTCTGAAATGACGGGCCAAATTCAAATTTCTGGTAGGTCTTCGGAATCGACGAGCCAAATTCAAATTTCTGGTAGGCTTTCTGAAACGACGGGCCAAATTCAAATTTCTGGTAGGTCTTCGGAATCGACGAGCCAAATTCAAATTTCTGGTAGGCTTTCTGAAACGACGGGCCAAATTCAAATTTCCGGTAGGTCTTCGAATCGAATTCAAATTTCTAGTAAGTCTTCGGAATCGACAAATTCAAATTTCTAGTAAGTTGGCTAAAAGAAAGAAATTCTGAATCTGAAACCGTCGAAAACTTGTTGAATCTATAAACCTTTCTATTTGTTTTTATTGTATTATTCTATTGGATTTAATCCAAAATTCCAATTCATATCATTAAAACTTTAGATACAGCGATTATGAATCGATCAGCGTCGTAAAATAAGATTTTAAAATTCCGGAAGTGGTTAAAATGTGCCGGGGCTCAAATTGGGATACGAATGGAAAGCAAAAACTAATTTGACTATTTCAAAGTTCAAATTTCTGGTAGGCTTTCTGAAACGACGAGCCAAATTCAAATTTCTGGTAGGTCTTCGGAATCGACGAGCCAAGTTCAAATTTCTAGTAGGCTTTCTGAAACGACGGGCCAAATTCAAATTTCTGGTAGGTCTTCGGAATCGACGAGCCAAATTCAAATTTCTAGTAAGTCTTCGGAATCGACGAGCCAAATTCAAATTTCTAGTAAGTCTTCGGAATTGACGAGGCAAGTTCAAATTTCTAGTATGTCTTCGAAATCGACGAGCCAAATTCAAATTTCTAGTAAGTCTTCGGAATCGACGAGACAAGTTAAAATTTCTGGTAGGTCTTCGGAATCGACGAGCCAAATTGAAATTTCTAGTAAGTCTTCGGAATCGACGAGACAAGTTCAAATTTCGGGTAGGTCTTCGAAATCGACGAGCCAAATTCAAATTTCTAGTAAGTCTTCGGAATCGACGAGCCAAATTCAAATTTCTAGTAAGTCTTCGGAATCGACGAGCCAAGTTCAAATTTCTAGTAAGTTGGAAATTTAGTCTAAAAGAAAGAAATTCTGAATCCGAAACCGTCGAGAAGTCAACGGGAAACCTGTCCAATGTCTTTCCCAAGAATGCATAGCAATTCACAGATGATAAAGAAAAGGAATCCGTGGAGAGTCGTGATCGCCTACGTTCTCAATGGACATGGCATTGAAAAAACATCATGAACTTAAATAAGAACTGATATCTTTTCTATGGAGGCCAAAAACAAAAGATCAGCAATATCGTTGAATCAAAAAGATTATCTTAAACAATTAGATTAGGATTATGAAGCCGAAAGTGCAAATCTCCATTGGCTTTCAAGGCTGCTTTCTGTTGTTAATAGAGGGTTGGAGGTGGTGTGACTTACAATCGGGTAAGAGGTTTACATATAAAGTATACATTTCTCACTTGGCATTTGTCAGTTGCTGTTTGTATAATGAGTTAATGATTTCTAGGTTAAGCTCTCCATATTTCGGGGGTGGGAGCTCAATGTAAGATTAATAATAATAATAATAATAACAACTCTAAAACTTATTAAAGATAAAATCAAAGGGATTGTTAGATAAGCCGGTTTTAATAAAACCAGTTAAATTGTTTCGCATTTTGCTTGAGCACCCACGTAGATATGGGGACCTGATTTACTACACTTGTCAATCAAACAACTGTTTCTATAAACATTCTATAAACATTACTGTTGTGGCCTTGTTAGGGCCAGAAATAAAGACAGAAAGAGAGGAAATGTGTTAAACAAATATATTAACAGAAACAGTAATACAAAACATATACAAACGACAGTGTTATAGGAAGAATATCCGGTCCGATTGTCAGAGCTGACTGCTGGAAACTTCCTTCTTCCAAAAGGCAGCACCTGCTCCTATTTATAGCTGGGAGAGTCCGTTTGTGCGTGGGTAAATTGTCATAACTATTGTTACTATTATTGTAACAGCAAGGAAATTTTAATTTATATGGGGAAAAGATTAGAATAATCCAGGAAATATACTGGGAGAAACCAGCTTAATGAAACACATAACTAACCTTATTATCTGGATTCTGATGGATTAAGTAGGGCGCGTAGCAGAATTTGACCGTAAATAGAACAGGAAGAGTGTTGCTTCGTTAAAGACACTGAAACAAGAAATGCAATATTTATTATCAGAATGATATCAGAGAGAGAGAGAGAGAGAGAGAGAGAGAGAGAGAGGGGGGGAATACAAACGCAGAAGCAAGCTATTTTTGATAGGTTACACAAAAGAATTTAAGGTACTGTTAAGTAATAGTTTAGCAGATTATTATTTTACAGAGGAAGTTTTTCTCTGCTCGGACCTCCTGAGGATGACCTTAGAGGTCAGATGAAAGACAAAACAAGGAAGTCGATTTTGATTGGCTGAACGAGCGTGCGAACGATAGATAATGATTTCTCGGTGAGACGTTTCTGAATTGTTGAGCGATGTAGACGTGTATTTTTCGTGTCTGAAACGGCTCCCCAGTGGAGTAGGGAGCGACACCAGTGGAGAAGGGAGCGAATATGTATACGTCGACGCTAATAAAATAGTTAAGTTAAAATTCCTTGTGCTGAAGTTCTTTTATCTCTGGACTCAAAACAACTAGCGAAAGAAGAATGCAACTTTATTATCCAATTGATGCCATCACCCAAGACTACCCTACCAGTGAGCTATGCAACAGTGCGACACAAAGATATATTTGAACTGCTAGGAAAACTTGATTTATAGCATATATATATGGGAAGTGTTTTAACAGAGAACGGAAAATATAAGACAGAAATCCAAAGAACCATAGGACTAGCGAAGTGGCGTCTTCCAAAAATGAAACAATATATTAGAAACAAAGAAAAGAATACGGAACTGTTATGTAAGATCAGTCCTCCTATGTGACAGTGAATGCTGAACAATTTCCTCACAGATGAAGAGGAGACATGAGGCAAGAAAGATGTTCTACAAAAGGATGTTGAGACTAGCATGGGCTGAGCAACTGAGCAAAGAGGAATTTAAAAAAAATGAAAACGAAAAAGACACTTATACCTAGAATCAGAGAGCGTATGTTGAAATTTCTAGGTCATATACTGAGGAAAGAGGGCTTGGAAAATTTGACACTCAAAAGATATACTGAAGGCAAGACAGACAAAGTAAAACAGCAGGTATCTTACCAAAGAATCTCCTATAAATGGATGGCAGAACAGAAAACGACAGGAAGTTGTGGACACCCATGATCGCTCACAGACTGACAGGACGCGGCACATAAAAAATCGTGCTCATCTAAAGGCCATTGGAAATGTTTACGATGTCAATACCTATTTATAGAATTTAAATTACGGTTCGACCTTTTTAATCTGCCACATTTGAAACTAGGCCACTACCGGATCATAGAAAATGCCGGATGACAGAAATTACCCCTAAAGAACTCTATGTAAACATAGTGTTGCCGTCTCATTCCACACACACACACACACACACACACACACACACACACACACACAGATATATATATATAAATAAATGTGTTATTAAACGCAGAACAAAGCTTAAAATAGGAAAAAAAAGACAATTATTAATACTTTCAAACAAGTTTTTTGTTTCCAGCAATAATAATAATAATAATAATAGCTGGCCACATGTATTCGTGGATACCCGTCTACTAGGGCGGCTAGCCAATCCCTGTTGTAGACCCTCGCTCAGGCGCATTTGTGTTTGTTCAACACCACCAGAGCCAACCTGTGTTTTATGCTGCAACTATGACGAGCAGACCTTAGTTACAGTTTCAGGGAGAAAGCATGTTATCTAGCATGATCAGCAATCTGAACAATGCCAGCAAATTCAAACCCTCGGTCACGATGACTTGTGACAACGTGCTATCACAGATATCGACGGCCCCCAAGTGTTCCGTCTAACCATTTTCACTCACTTACTCGTAGTGTGGTTTTCCACACTACGAGTAGGTGAGTAGGTGCCGCACGCCTGAATCGTCCAGACCGGTAATGTCAGGAAGTCTCCCTCCTGACAAATCAACCGTGGTGAGACTCATGGTCAGCAAACGAACGTTCTAACCACTCGGCGATGCACCTATATTTCCTGCAATACGAACGCTAAAAACGTCTAAAACTAACAAATAATACATACGACCCTGAATAGGTAAATATGCAGCTATACAATGGCCTAAGAAAGGTTTTTAGCCAAGAGAAATAAACTACATCCAATTTCGAAATTTAATTACATAATCCCAACTCAACATAAATAAACAGTATTTGGAACTGATATTGAGCAGGTCCTCCATTTGCTAGTTTCAGTGCTTGTATTTGATGTTTCATGGATTTGATCAAGTTATCAACAATCATCTGATTCATATTTTGCTACTTCTTTAGCAATGTTTCTTTAACGGTTGCCACTGAGGTGATTTTGGTTGCACGCTCTCGAAGTCTTCGATCAAGGTGCTCCCAAACGTGCTCTATTGGATTCATGCCAGGATTTTGGGCTACCCATGGCAGTGACTTGATTCCTTGTGATTCCTTTCAGGCCTTTGCTACATTGCTTGTATGACATGTTACTCTATCTTGTAAAAGGTAGACATTTTTGTCAATCTGATTGATTTCAAATAGTGGGAGTATTCCTTTCTTTAATATTTGACAGTATTTTGGACCATTCAACCGCTCGTCTACAAGAATCAGTTCAGATTTCCCTCCAAAACAAATAGCGCCCCACACCATTACTCCAACCCGTCCATGTTTTACGGTTGCCTGCAAACATTCAGTGTTCCAAGTCTCATTCTGATTTCTTCACACATAAAGCTGTCTCGAATTCAAATATTGGCAGTATTTACTTACTTCTGATCAAATTACGGACTGCCAAAATTCATAATCTTTGCTCTCGACTTCTTTCGCCCAGTCTATACGCCTGTTCCTGTTAACTTCTGAAATCGAGAGTTTCTTTCTTGCAACTCTTCTTTGGTAACCTAGCTCTTTCAGAATCTTTCTCATCGCATATGGCGACATTTCCATGCTGTTGGCGACATCTTTGATGCTCATGACTTCCTTCTTCAATGCCTTTTTCGTTCGCTGAGACACGATGTTTGGTCTTCCTGAACGCTGTTCCACCGGACAATAGCCTTCTTCATTAAATTTCTTGACAATACTATTAAC